GGGCCTTGGGTGGATTTCTAGCCTTGGCCACAACATTACTCATTTCCTTCCTATTTTCTTTTAATCCTTTCTTCCGCCAGTATACTGCTTCCACTTCTTTTTCTCCCTAGATATTGACTCTTCCTAAAGAAAAAGCAAAGCCCATGTTCATTTAGCACTTCCTTTGCTTTAGGTAGGTTTCAGTCTTGGTATTATACGGGAGGAAAAACTTTTTCTGTACCCTATTATGTCCTGTACCCAGGGATGTGCAAATTACACTGACAAAAGACAGATTAGCAGGGGAAAAGAAAGAGCTTATTTATGCACGCAACATGTGTACACATGGACACTCGGTGATGAGTACTCAGTGATGTGTAACTCGAAGGGATGGTTAGAATTTGGAGCTTATATACCTAATTTAGGGGAAAGGGAAGGGACAGAAAAGGCTTCTATGGGAAGGACAAATAGGTTTCTTTAGGAAAGACAAATGGGTTTTTAGGAGAACAAGTAGGAGGTAAAGTTTAAGATAATGTTTGTTTATGCAGGTGTGAGTGATCTTTCTGTCTTCTTTATGGCCATACAACTCCCCCAGAGAGGAGATTTATGGTAGATTTATTCTTGGTTTCTCTCCTGGGAATAGACTTGCCCCAAAGAGGGAATTTATGGCAGTTCTCACTTCTCAGAAGTTTCGCTGTTTAGTCAGATAAGGGAAGCTCTGAGAAGTCTTCTTTCTGCATCTGTTGAATCTCAAATGTCTTCGGCTTAAAATAATGTTTATGCCAAGCCTGGGATTCTGAGTGGGTCCACACAGTGTCCATTGCAGGTTAGTAGCCGTTCCCTTTGGCTTCCTTTCTACTGGCTCTGTATGGGAGGGATGGACCCTGGCCTCGGTAGCTACTGGTTCCACAGGGGTAGACAGGGAAGGAAGGATGAATTCTGGGCCCACGAATGGAAATAACGCAGTCGTGGTAGGGGGTGGGTTGGGAGAAGAAGGTCCATTTTAAGTAATGGCTTGTTTTTCCCCGCTAATGTCTTCTAAGTTAAATGTGTCCCCCTACAATAGGGACTAAGTTCCATCCAACAACTATCACCTGGGAAATTACATTCTTTTCAGCAACTTAATTCCGTCTTTATTTCTTGTGAAAATCTTCCTCCTCCTGTTTTGCATTACATGGCGAAGCTCCTTATATTTTATGATAATTAAGGGTGTTGTTCCTGAATCCCTTCTTCCAAATTTTAGGGTGGACGAGTCCATTTTACTCCGCTATAAGGGCCAGAAGGCAGAGGCCTCTGAAGTGAGAACACTTTTGTGATGGCCAATTTTTGGTGTCAACTTGACTAAGCTCAGATGTGTCATGGAACACCAGTCTAGATATTGCTGTGAGGGAAGTTTTCAGATGTGAGTAACATTTCAATCAGCAGACTTTGAATAAAGCAGATTATTCTGCACAGTGTGGATGGGTGTCGTCTCATCAGCTGAAGGTCTTAAAAGCAAAGACTGAGGCTTCCGGAAGAGGAAGCAATTGGATCTAAAGATCGCAACACAGAAACCCTTCCTGAGGGTCCAGCCTGTTGCTGCCTGGAGGAATTCAGGCTCAGGCTGCAACATTGGCTTTCACCTATGTATTGGATCTGCTAACCTGCCCTAAACTTTGGACTTCACAGCCACCACAGTTGCGTGAGTCAGTTCCTTAGAATAAATCTCTCTCTCTCTCTCTCTCTCTCTCTCTCTAGTTATTACACACACACACACACACACACACACACACACACACACACACACACGTATATATCCCATTGATCTTTTTCTCTGGAGGATACTGACTAATACTCTCTTACTCTCCATTGCACCTTCCTTGAAAGGGCTCACAGGCTTTCTGCCAAGTCACTTGTCCTAGGAATAGAGAGCTTTGGTTAAGTCTCAGGACCCTGGGAGAAGGGAAGGGAATAAAGTAGGAAGGTATGTTCGAGTGAACTCCTAACAAAACTCCACACTCCTCCTGAAGACGTAACAGCAGTCACCCAAGTAACTTCAAATACCGGGAGGGCAGAGCCATACCCTGTGTACCCTGTCTTGACTTTCAGGAGCCCTCAAATCAGAGTGAGTGGTGGTAGGCATGGAGAGAAAGTAGATGAAAGCAGCGAAGACTAGGCGAGCGTCTGGAGCTGGCTGGAGGCACCGAGGGGATGCTCAGCAGAACGCTCGGGGCGCAGCAGGCAGGAGCCCTGCAACTGTTGCCGACCGCAATGGGAAGCGATGAGCAATCTGGGAAAGAGCACTGGAGAGGGAGCTAGTAGTCTGGGTTCCCGACCCAGTCCTCAGTAACACTTGGATCTTTTCTGTCTCCCTCTCTGCAGGGGCTTGCACAGCTCTGCACACCCAGCAGACACTGATGACTGCTACCCAGTTCCAGCTATTTAGAACATTGGAATTGAAACTCTTGATTTGTGCTTTCTTGCTTTATCACAGATCAAAGGAATTCAAGGTAAGATTTTTTAAAAACCATCCGATTGGGAGGCCAAGGTAGGCAGACCACCAGGTCAAGAGATGGAGACCAGCCTGGCCAACATGATGAAACCCCGTGTCTACTAAAAATACAAAAATTAGCTGGGCATGGTGGTGCATACCTGTAGTACCAGCTACTCAGGAGGCTGAGGCAGGAGAATTGCTTGAACTTGGGAGGTGGAGTTTGCAGTGAGCCGAGATCGCACCACTGCACTCCAGCCTGGCGACAGAGTAAGACCCTGTCTCATAAAAAAAAAAAAAAAAAAAAAAAATTAAATAAAAATCTGACTTTGGCAAATCCCAAGTAAGTCATCAGCCAGCCAGCCTCAGTTGGGATAAGGCCTTACTTGGTTCTATTCAGAGAAAAAAAATGAGACCCAGAGGAGAGAGAAGGTTTACAGTGTGGCAATTTGCCCACATCTGCAGCCTGGAAGGAGTTAGGAAAATTCAGCCGCTGTGAAGACTTTGAGACTATCGATTTTTACAGGCAGTGAGCGAAATGCTGTGCATACTTTATTATCAATGATTACGTTTTCACAAGCTCATGCCTCATTCTGGTGCATCGTCTTCTGCCCTGCTTTCTCCTTCACTCAGTGTGGAAGTCAATGGGAGTACGGTTCCAAAGCAAAGAAAGAAAGGATCAAATTAGCTTGAGACACAGCTCTTTGATTGGCTGAGGCTAAGCCAGAACTACAGAAAGGATGCTTCCCTTGGTCAAATCCCAGTGAATCTATACTAACGTTTTGTTACTGGTGAAGGATGTCCAGGTTCTGGCATCTCGAACAAAGAACTGGGCAAAACGCATAAAACAAGAAAAGAATGAAGCAACAAATCAGACATTTATTGAAAATGAAAGTATGCTCCACAGGGTGGAAGTGGGCTTGAGTATAGGGGCTCAAGAGCCCCATTACAGATTTTTTGGAGGCTTAAATACCCTCTAGAGGTTTCCACTGGTTACTTGGTGTACACCCTATGTAAACAAAGAGGATATTTCCTGTCATAGCTGAAGTGTTTCCATTTGATTTAGTTCTGGGAAGTTCTAGGTTTCCTGCCTCCAGACCCCATTCTCCTGCCTCAATTTGATTTTGATTTGTTCCTCTTTAGGAGTTCACCCACGTATATCAAGCACCTAGAAAAGTGTCAGGCACATGGGAAGTGCTCAATAAACGTTTGCTGAAGGAATGTCCAAGGTCTGGTGAGGAGTGGAGGAGGAGGTGCGAAGAAGATGGCCAGCTTGCTCCCTGCGTGTACCTCGGCCAGGTCTCTGAACTTTCTGAATCTTGTTTTCCTTTTCTGTGGGTGTGGCGAGAATAACTAGCATCCAAATGCTAGTCATGAGAGATGAGAATGATCTAAACGGTAGGAACTCAACCCACGGCGATTCTACTTTCTTTCCCTTTTCTTGGGAAGAGGGTAGAGCACTAACTAATATCATAATTGACTTCAAACAAGCTGTTCCCCGGTCTACACCATAAAATGTAAGCATCAGTACATGTTAAATGAAATGCATGAAGGACAAAAATGAATAGGTGAGAAGGGACCTTATAAATCTTGTAATGCAGGAGTTTGAAAATAGTTTTCTTTTAAAGCAGAAGTCCTTTGGAAGCCTAAGATATAAAACTAACAAAACCACATCTGCTGTGACTGAAGTGGGTGGCGGGGGGTATGGCCCTGGGTCATTTCCAGTTCTGTGGTCTCTTTTCAGGGCTTCTCCCGCACACTCGCTCCCTCTCTGGGCTTGAGCTGTGGTTTGCTAGTAAATATTTAACAACTGGCTCTGGGGGTGGGAGCCCTGATTTATAACGTTTTCAGATTTCTGTGGTGTGAATACTTCCACTGCTTTAAGCCGCTGGCGTGGCAAGACTGAAGGTGGAGTGGGGTCTGCTGCTCAGAATGACACGCACCATTATATAGTTATTTCGGCAAACCTACAATTGCGTAAACAACCTCAAGCGTATTAAGAATTTGATGTAGTAAATGAATTGAGTGTTAAATCCTGAATATTTATTACCTTTGTTTTTAATATAATTCATCTAATTATGTTTACGTGCTTGTAATTTAATTTTTTATAATGGCTCAGTTAAGAACAGGAGAGCCAAATTTTCAAAAATTGAGCAACTGGCTTTCAGGAGCTAGTACCAGCTGGCTCTATCACACCAGTGCCTCAGGGACATCTCTTTTGAAACCTCAGCTTCCAAAGAACACGATTTGAATGATCGATGTATAATTCCTAACGTTAGAGGGTAGGAAAAATGAGAGGTTATGACTTTATGAGGGTCATAGAACTAGTAGTTACTTTACCCTAGAGCTAGACATTGTCTTTTTCCTGGGTAGAGAACCTGCTCTTCCTGCCTTCTGGGACATGCAATCGAACTGTATCTCACAATTCCCCTTGCATCTAGGCGAACAAGTTGGCTGAACTAGAATTTGACTATAAATGATGTGCATCACTTCTAGACTTGTCTAGTTATTAAAATATCTTGTGTGATCCTCTGTGCTTTTCCTGGAGTCCCAGCCACGTGGAAGAAGCCAAGCGAAGGGCTGTGGGGACCTAGAAGATGGAGTCATCAAACAATGGAAGAATCCCAGATCTTCAAGTCACTGTTTGGACAAGAACCTACCATGACATGTGCCTGAACTTCGTGTGAGTGAGAAACAAACTTTTATTGTTAAGCCACTGACTCTTTGGGTTGGTTTTTATAGTAGCTGGTGTTGCTTATACTGACTAATACATCTTGGAAGTAAATGATGCAAAATAATTCTAAATATTTACAGGGGATGATATTTATAAGGGAAAATAATAATAGGGTGATGCCAATGTGGTGTCCTGAGAAGGAAGCACCAACAAGGAAGGGGCCCGAGGTAGGGAAGGGCAACTGTTCTGAGAGGCTGCTAATCACAACCAACCTGCTGGCACCACGTCCTGTTCCCAAGTCCTCTGCTCAGCGTGCAGCCCCAGCAGCCTGACGTTGTCTGCGTGTAGACCCTCCAGCATGACCCTATAAAATTTCCCTCCAGCCACCGCCTCTTGGCAGACAGTCCTTTCTCTGCTGTGCAGCCCACTGCTTTCTTACAATGTATCTTTCTACTTCCTCTAATAAATCTGCCTTTCTTTACCCACAACTGTCTTGAAAAACTATTTTGCTGTTTATGATGCCAGCCCCAGCCAATTGCACCTGCAACAGTCAGTGGGGAGGGGGAGGAATCAAGTCACCCAAAGGATAAAAAACTCTGGAATGTAATAAAGGGAGCACAGGAGAGCAATCTAGCAGACTGATGACTCTGGGGGGAGGCTAGCATGACATGACTGTGGGTGAGAATAGTAACGATGACATGAACACAGATGATTGTAGTGGTCAGGACTCTTCAGATACAAGTAACAGACACCGATTTGAGCCAGCTTAGGCTTGGAAAAGGAACCTTATTTTAAGTACACAGGAGCTTCTCATGGAGGTCAATGGCAGGAACACAGCTTCTGAAGGGTCTGGAATCAGGACCTGGGAATCACAGGGACCCTGTCCCTGTTTCCTATCTTCATCTTCATGTCTGCTTTGTTGCAAACCACCTTATTGGTGACCACCTCCTGCCTCATAGTGAGGGAAAGGAGGCTATCTCCCAGGTTCTCGATTCACCGTTAAAAGCCTAGCCAGCCACAGACTGAACTACATCTCTCTTTGGGCTAATTCCACACATACCGGATTAATTCTCTGTAGATCATAATTCCAGAGCCCATAAAGAGAGACTCTAGTTGGTCCAGCTTGGTCAGGTGTCCACCCTGGTCTAATGTGCTATGGCCATAAGGTCAAGTTTACAGTATGAACATGGCTGCAAGGGGCCTTCCCTCTAGACAGGGAGACAACTCCCAAGAAAGTGAGGTCATAGTTGACTCAAGGTAGCTCCTGAGTACTTCCGTAGGCAGAAACAGCCCACTAGGAAGAGAGAGAAAGAGGCGGGGCTGTACATGCACAATTCCTCTCCCAAACCCGTGAGACAAGTAGCTGATTCCATGTTTTTGTGGAGGGGTCAGGGATAGAGAAGGAGAGAAGGTCATAGTGTTACTCTGGAGAGCTTCCTACATCCAGAGGGAACCATCATTTGTGGGATAGATGAGTTCCACTTGCTATCAATAATGTTTAGAAAGTGTCAACCACAGTCCTGACACAAAGTGAACAGTCAGTGTAGGTCAGATCCCTTTCTCTCTCTGCCCTGCCCCCAACACTCTTCTTATCACTTGGTTTCTTGCCACTGGTAGTGACAGTGCCATATGGAGCCATATTGGAGCTTGAGGTGAAAGGGAAAATAAATTACAGTAATCTGGTCCTGTCTTGATTTTGTTCTTCATGAAGTACTTGCATTGATTTTGACTCTTAAAATATTGCATTAACATATTCTTTATCTTGATTACTGAGTATCTGGCACCTTCTTACAGTCTGTGCCTGAGTCAAGTGTCTTGCTTACTTCATCCTGGTACCACCTGCTTGTCAGAGGCAGGTGAAAAGTACCCCGGGATACATTTCCTTCCTCAGCAACCAGCCCTTCCTGACCCCCTGACTTAAGGTTTAATACTGTTTTGAAAAATCAAAAAAATTTATTTTCACTTATATTTGTACATGTGAAGCAGGATATTTCCCTAACCTCTTTGCAAGACTTGTGACAGGGGTGCCTTGTGTACTTAGCCTGCAGCACTCAACTCCTCATGGGAGGGAGTGCATGAGTGAACAGGGCAGGAAATGGAGTGCACAAGCACCGGAACCAGCCGGCCACTTTGGGGCTGGCAGGGGTGAACTCCACTCACTCAGACCTGCTGAGACCCACTGTGTTCCACCCCTTGTGGGAGGGAACATGCAGGTAAGCAGGTGCAGGAGCTTGGGTGAGTGTTTCTGGGCACTGGCAGGAGCAAATTCTGTGCAGGCCCCATGGCAGCATCTAGTGGGGTGTTCATGATTCCTGAATCCCCAGGGGGCATGTTACAGTGCTTTTATGGCTCTGCCATCCATGGACAGCTTATGTGTTAACAGCTCAGTGGGCCCTTTTGTATTTGCACACGTGGCTCCCAAGCTCTTCTGGTGTCCAGGAAAAATGAGGTCACACAAATGAATTGAATGATGGTAAATGTGTGGATTTCATTGCTGATGAAAGTGGCTCATAGCTGGAAGGGGAGCTGAAAAGGGGGTGGGGCAGGAAGGAAATCTTCTGAACTCCAGCCATCTCCAGCCGGATTCTTCTTCACAGTGACACCATCAAACTGTCCCTCTGCACTCAAGTCGCTTCTCTCCAATGTCCAGCCATAGTCCCCCGGGTCCAGCTGCTTCTGCTCTTTGCCAGCTGAGTCTGTGGTTTTTATAGGCACAGGATACGGGGTGGGCCAGGCCATGGGTGATTTAGGAAAAGGCGACATTAGAGCAGGAAAACAGGGATGTAAGTTCTTACTTTGGGCTGTGGTTTCAGGCTTGAGGGTGGGATTTTGTTGGAGACCTGCCCTTTTCTGCCCAGGATCTCTCTGCCTCCTGTCCTTATCACATACACAGCGTCATTGAAGTTATCCAAGAAACCAGTAACAGATGTTGCTTCTAGGAGGGAAAATGGCAGTGGGAGGGAGGAAGGGATACATTTTGCCTTAGAAATGTGTTTTTAATTTTTTAAGGAAAGCCTAATTAAGATGATTCTTTTCCTTACTACACAAGCAATATTTGTTCACTATAAAAAATTAGAAAATACAGATAAAGCAGGAAACAGAAGCTATAAGCCTTAGGGGAGAAGACATAATTTCTTTTCTTTCTCCTTTCAAGTTCTTAGTTGAGATATGCTCCTGAAAACAAAAGTCAGCCTAACAAAAGAAAAACAAGCAAAAGTACATCAACATGTGCTGTACCCATGACACAGGACAGGCCTCTGTTCAAAACTCTTTTTCTCTCTCAAGGCAGTAGCTTCAGGGGTCTTGCTTAAATAGTACTTGAACGAAGAGCCATAAATCCTATTCAGTGACAAGACAGAGAAGAGAGTATCTTCAGGCCTCCGAAAGGCAGGGAAATGTGGGAAGGTAGATTTGTGGGAACACTCAAGTCAGCCCCAGGATTCTCTGGCGGCTGTGGTCTCTGAGCTCTGCTTCTGAGCTGATAAGCAAATGCAGGGAAGGGGCCCCACCTGTGGGCGGGGAAGGCAGAGGAGGGGCAGAGCACACCTTGCACTTCAACCTTTTTAAGTTCAACAGTTTTCAGCATTTTAGAGAGAAATATTTTGGTTTCCTGCAAAATGTTAATAACTCACCATTCCACTAATACATACCTTAGTGTTTATCTTTTTTATTCATATATGTAGATTTTACAAAAATAGGATGGTTTGAGACAAGAAGCCAGTTGATTTTACCTCTTGGGGATTTCCTTCTCTGAGTAGAGGATATTTAAACATTCCAATTATTGTTGTGATTATCTTACCTTGGTGGTTAAGATGAGCAAAGTGAAGATGTTTCACTTTGTGCATTCTATGCATGGAGATCTTTTCTGTGGATATTTTCTCCCCCTTGGGAAAAGACAGAAGTGAAGTGCTTTCTATTGTTCAAGGTTCAAATAATGACTCCACATGTATCATGAGCTCAAAACAATGTTCTGTGGCTCATGTGATCCAACAGACAAATGTTTTGGTCTACTGAGCATCCCCAGAAGTAAAATAATAGTTAGCGTCTGAGGAAGGGGGATAGAAAAGGCCCAGGCCTGGGTCACGTGCTTAGGTGGCTAGACTCATCTGGTGTTGGGCTTGTCCAACCTTGTCAGAATGAGGACATGGGATCCAGTGCTTCTCTGGTACTCATCAGCCTCTTAAAAAGGTCAGTGTGAGTCTTTTATTTACAGGGGCCCAGAATAGATAGTAGAGCCTGGGAGACTGATGCCTTTTCCATGTTACTTTTTGGTCCATGCATGCAATAAATGGACTTCTTTTTAAATTGCTTCATATTTCAGAGTGTTCAACTCAGATAAGCCATTTGAGTGGACCAAGAGACTGTAAATGATTGACGTGAGTCTACTGGAGTCATCCTCCACCCAGCACCCTCTAAGATGATCTTAGGAGGAGGATGTGGTCTTTCTGGCTCCCTGTTTCCTTACTGTTTCTGAAGTATATATAACTGTTTCTGACTTTAAGAGATTTTTTAAGCCACTAGTTAACAGAAAGAAAGAAGCTGTGTAATAAAATCAGCAAACATGTGCCAGGTATGATGAGATGATAACCTGATGCTCTCATGTGATCTACCTAGAAATGTGGATAGGGCTGGCCTGTTTTTCAGAATTCCTCCTTAGATTCCCTTCCTAGAGCACCAAGAGGAAGAAGCTCTATCTCCATTTATTTCCAAGTCTTTGGGGGTGGAGCTGCTTAGTTCCCCACTCTCCTGGGCCAGGAGTCCCTCCCCTTGCTCTCAGAGCCCTCGAGACCCATTTAGGCAGAGCATCAGATATACATCATTCTCAAGGGAAGAATGAGAGACAGAGGATGGGTGTCTTTTTTCCTGGTACTTGGAAAGCATTAAGTGAGTGGATAGAATTTCTCTTAAGCCTTTGACACCAGATACTCCACTGATGGAAGCTAGAATCTAGTTTTAGATGGTGTCTGATATTATAAAAAATTTTATGTCGAGCTATTTTAAGTTTAATATGTCCATATTTCATGGTGCTCCATAAAGAGCACCATATCTGAGAGTTGTTTAGCCATAAAGAACAAGTTTGAGTAACACTGAAACAGATCACATGTAACTTTCTTCACTCAAATGAGGCTTTTACATCTTGGAAAGATGCTGGGTTCTCTCATCTCATATTTAATACTCAATTCATGTGAAGGGATGTACACATCTTCCACTTGCCTCTAAGCAAAGCACAAGCAAAGCAGAGGGATGAGCCTTCCAACACCTTGGCCTCTCTTCCTCTTGACCTTCTCATATCCAGCCATGGACATAAGGATGTTTTCTTCTGTTGTTTTTTTTCTGTGGTCCTCCTCATTCCTATGACCATACTGTGCCTTGTAGGCAACAGAAACGACATCACCTTGTACATCTCAATCTCAAACACATCGTTTCCCAACCTACCAATCGCTCTACTTTCCTTGCACCGAAACCTTCTCTTTTTCAAATCTTTGCC